TCGCTTCAACGATGTTTATGCAGCAAAGTGATGTTTATGCAATGCCTTCCCACATGTGCGGCTGCCTTTAATGCCCGCCAGCGCACCGTCAGCTCTGTCTAAGGGACGCACATCAGACTTCTGTTGGCATTGATGATAATACCGCATTAATTATACAAGTCGGATGGTTAAGCCATTCAGGGAGCTCTAAGTTTGGACTTGAGAAGGTGAAGACAACAGAAGTCCCAGCTTTAAATCTTTGGTTATGGGACTTTGTCTACCAGAACACGATGATATGAATCCCATGGTGGAATCTCCTGGTAAGCAGCCTGGAGAAAAGGCTCTTAAAATGTCTTGGGGTCTTTGAAGGTCTTTAAAAGCCTTGCTTGAAACTTATGCCTTTTTTTTATTCAGTGTTAATCCTATACTTACACCTGGCCATAAAGACGAAAATAAATAAAATCTATATTTTAACTGCAGGAACTTCCAACCAATATCCAAAAGATATCGATTACATAGTTGATGGCTGAGAAACCATACTAATAGATGAGATATGTGGAAAACGGACAAATGGAAACATAAGTGAAGGAGTTGTCTTCATGAGGGATGATAAAATATGGAGCAGGAGATTGATGGACGGACAGATTGTGTCCTTGTTCTGATTTACTGAGTGCAAAATATGGTGAATATAACCTTTGGTCATGAATTGAGGACCCAACTAGCTCAAATGAGCCAGATAACATTATCTGCTTTGAAAAATTGTCCAAAAGGTCAGGAGAGTTTTTCTTTTTTTTTGCAGTAGTAGTGTTCTGTGGACGTTTTAAAACAGGGGTATCCAACCCTGGTCCTCAAGATTTACTGTTTTAGATGCATCCCTGCTGCAACAAAGTCTGCTTTCACACTGCAGGCCTTGATGCTCAATTCCAATTTTTTTTGTGAAATACGATATTTTTTTGCCTTTTCCAAATATATGCGACTTGTACGTGATCTCCTGTGTGAACTGCAGTCATACAACGCAAGTGTCCCGCATGCGCAGTAGGGGACACAATGACGTCACAGGCCAGCTTGCTCCATGTTTACGGAATTGTAGTGCCGGAGCGCATCTAGCGGTCTTTTCCAACCACGAAAACCCATTCTTTCAACATGTTTAAACATAAATACTGCTCTCCGCATCATTATCTGCCATGGTTTTTGTTTTTCTTGCTGCTTCTGCGTAGCAAGACGCAGAATAATGACCTTTGTCGGGTATTAATGACGTTCAGGTCGGATGAATGCGACCTGGCCCTTCAGACTCAGGTCGCATTTGAAAAGATCAGATTTGTATCGGATTCAGGACCACATAGCCAAGCGGCCTGAGTCGGATTGGAAAACATCGGATCTGTGTTGTTCAGACTGCAATGAAAAGATCAGATTCAGCTCGCATATGGGCAAAAAAATCGGATTTGGGTCACTTCAGACTGCAGTGTGAACGTAGCCAAAGTGAATTCACATGACTGTATTACCTCTTCAGCAGGGCATTAAGTTCAGTAAATGCCTGTTAATGAGCCATTCATCTGATTCAGCCGTGTTGGATCAGTGGTGTATCTAAAAGCTGCAGGAAAGTAGATCTTCAAGACCAGGCCTGGAGACCCCTGTACAAAAGGCTCTTTAGATATAGACGCAACAACATTCCAGATGAAAGCAGTTTTGACTTTCCTTTAAAGGGTCTCTCTCCTAAAGCCGAGATATAAAGTGTGGAGCTCTATCATTCAGTAGGGGAAACACGTAATAAAGTCCCCGCTTAACTTGAGGTGGTTAGGGCTTTCCTCAGAGGAGACAGAACGGCAGACCCTGGAGTCTCTCTCCAACAGATGGACAATATGAGGAAGTCATGTTTTTTGACAACTTCTTCATCCTTCAGTTGATTGCTTACTGTATGTCAGGATCAGTTTGATGATGCTAAAGTTGCTTTTATGTCTGTCAAACTTTATTGTCTTCGCCATCTTGGTAAAGATCGGATTTAAATAGGGTCTTTGCCAAGTTGTCTATTATGCCAACGCCATGCTCACTTATTCTTTGAGTTCAGGAGACCGCTTAGGTCTGATTTATTTATGAGTTAAAGCAAAGTAGCTTTAACACCAAATGTATTTCTGAAGCTGATCAGGAACAAAGGCTAGATCAAAAAAACTATCAGAAAGCTAATGGTCGAAAGGATTATAAACACTACAACACAGCCTGCCTGGTTGGAGGCTAATTTTAAAGGAGGGATGACTCAGGAGTTTTGCACTTTGTAGCTCCCCGTTTGTCTTGTTACTTTGCTTCCAAAACAGAGCCTGAAGCAGGAAAGTCCCCCCGTGGTGACCGGGCCACATGGTGTCGGCTTTCGTCAGACTGGCCTTGTGCATCAGAGAGGCCGAGGCTTCTATATGCAGCACAGATATATTTATATTTGGCAGCTCTGGTGGTTGCCCCTACACACTCGCTCTGCGCATTTATCACGGGTGACCTCCCATACACAGTCTGTTTCTACATGCTAAAGCCGTAAGTAGATCATCAAAAAAAAACATTCAAAGCAAATTACTGCAAATCCGACCTCGCATGGGGGGAAAAATCAGCTTGATAATTGCACACCTTCATTGTGACCTCTAAGCTTTACCACACCCACCAGAGCCCATCCTGTTACATGATTAATAGAGCAGCTTGAATAATTCAAAGTGGCTGTGTGGATTCTTTCTAATCATGTTGACAGCAGTAGCAGTTGTTTTCCGGTGTTAATGCTTGTCCCTCTTAAATGTTAAAGCAACCCCCTTGTTTTCTTAAACTGTAATTCAGACAGAAATCAAAAACTGAGGATACTCTCCTCATTAATACAAATTATTATCATATCACAAAGGCACTTTATTAGCATTTTAAGAATATATCTATCTTGTATAAAATTAAAAGCATAAAAGGTTTAATTTTCTGTGAATTTATGGGAATGCCACTTTCATATCACAACCAAATTCACTGCATTTTATCACGATCTTTTGATAGAATCAAAACAAAGCACTACATAGTCTAAGTAAATCTATTTATGTATTCAACCCCTTTCAGTTTAATGCTTCCAGATATAATCAGAAAGAACCAGCTAATTTAATAGTTTAATCTGACTGCAGCTCTCATGGTTTTAGATTTGCACTTTTTTTTTTATTCCTGCATAAAAAAATTTACAAATATATCCAAAAGCTTTCGCTTAGGTCTCTCCAAACCAAAGCCCTTTTAGTTCTACATGTTGGTTGTGCCCCCTACAGGGTGTAAGGAAAACTGCACATGGCAACTAAGACTCATTTTTTTTGTGGTATATTTTCCAAAGTAACCTTCTTACAGCACAGGGGTGTCAAAAATCAGCCTTAAAACAGTAAAACCCAAATATATACAGAGCTAAAATTTTTCTTTTGCGTATAGATTCAGTTGCTTACAGTAATATTCAATTTTTTTTTTAATTACTTTTAACCAGGAAAAGTACAACTAAACATTGTCACGCTCAGGCAACTGTTGCAGTGACAGAGGGTTTATAGCCAAAGGCTACGCAGCCACGGGCACCAGTTAGGTTTATTGTTTTTTTTGTTTTGTTTTGTTTTTATTACCCCACCCTTAAAAAATATTTTGATTTAAATGTATTACACAGATGGAGAAAAATAAAGCATACAAGTTAGCTTCTATGAGTAAGGTTAATAAAAACAGGTGTTTAGATTAAACTTTTCAGTGTTCAGATTAAACTTTTTAATGTTCACAGTGTTGTTGTTCATTCAGCCAGTGTTTTAGTTTGTTAAGAAAAGAATACTTTAATGTTAGCACTTTGCTTTAAGATTAGGAATAAAAACTAAAATGTTCTTTTGGGCTGAAACAGTCGGATTAATCATCAGTGTTTGATTGTTGAAATAACCTTCAACTAATTTAGTAATCGATTGATTCACTGGAGTATAGAGACTTTTAAACAAACCAAGTGCTTAAAGAGCAACTCTCTCAGTTCATTAATTATGATAAAATTGTATAAAATATATAAACATTTATGATGAAAAGCCTTTTTTGTCCATTAAAATGCTCTATTTAGAACTCCTCACGTTCATTTTAGTGTAACGTCTTTTTTAAATCTACTTTCAATTTCTGACTATTAATAGGTTAATCAGAAAAATACCATACATATATTTATTGTGCACCCTGGGCAAATTTAACTTAGAAAGTGCAAGCAGAAAGTTGCCTCTTTGAGAGGTAGAGGTTGCTGACTCTGTAGGTTTGGAGGCGAGTCACAGCCATGCTCCATTTTCAGATGAGGAATTCAGTTTTCAGTGAGATACTGAAAGCTTGGGACATTGTTTTTATACCCAAACTCTGCTCTAAAACTTTCTCCCTAACTTTAGATTGGCGTTATAACTTTACAAAATGTGTGGAAAAAGTTGACCAGCTGTCAGTGTGTTTAACTCTAAGAATAACTTGTATAATAGCGATAGAGATGCTGCCATTTGGCTCGGTTGTTAATCAATAAGCAGATGATGCGATTATTGCTGTAATTCTGATGCTTGTGAGGTTTTCTAACCTCGGTTTTCACACCCCGCAGTGTGATTTTTACACCTAATTTATTTCTGCCGTCAAAGTGAGATTGACAAAGATGGTGAGAAAAGACAGGCATTTTTTTAATGATTTGTTTATTCAGTTGTCCCTCTTTTTTTCTACAGTAGTTTATTATGAATCTCTTATATCATTATCAGAGGTTGACTGACAAAAACCTTGAACAGACTCGCCTTTGAATGACGGATTTGGATGTTTGCAGTTGGATAGTTTGCCTGCCAAATAAGTCTCAGTGTTTTCTAATTAAAGCTAAAGATACTACTGAGCAATTTTTACAACTTTGGCTTGAGAAAATATCTGCCACTGGTTCAAGCCTTTTGGGAGGTATTTAAAGCAACTACAGAATCTTCAGTTTGTACATTAGGCAAGAGGTAATTATATTTGCTCTTTTATTGCAGATTTAATTCCTCTAAATACTTGTTTTGCATCCACAGCGGCTGTGCTGAAATACGAGAACAATGTGATGAACATCCGACAGTTCAACTGCTCACCTCATCCTTACTGGCTGCCCAACTTCATGGACGTTTTCACCTGGTCTTTGCCATTTGTCGGGGAGAAAGGTGAGATCTGTGGACACACCACTGGCTAGATTTAAATGCTCTTTCTATCTGAAATCTAGTGAAAGGGTTTTTTTTTTACTGAAAACTGATTAATGATTTGTTGACATTTCTTTTGCGTTAAATATACTAAATCATCTCACCAATGAAGCCAAAGGGGTTAAAAAATACTCCTCCCCCTGGTTAATTTCTGTGCGTTTTGTATGGCGTCACATTTATAAAATAAAAAAAACACACTCTCATGTATGATAAACTACTTCTGTGCATGGTTTATCTACCACCTCACAACAAAATCACACATGCGTGAGAAACTGCCACTTCGAGAGGAGAAAATCATTCTCCATGCACGCCAGCTCCTCCTCCCACGAGCGTGGGAGCTCACCGTGGGCACGATTTTCTATCCAGCCGCCAAGCTCGAAGACGGCTGCGCTCTCGAAAGCGTCTCTGCCCTCAGACTGATTTTCTCCCTGCGCGAAGGAAAATGTTTTGATAGGTCGGGTGGAGACGGACCTCTTCTGTATGCCTCCTCCTGATTGGGCCTTGCAGACACGATCACAAGGGAAGTGACTGACAGCTGGTCATCCATAAGTGAAGACAAAGGCAGGATGCGGGACAGTGGCAAAACACATCTTACGGAGAGCGATTTCCTCCTCTCGAAGCGTCAGTTTCTCGCACATGTGTGATTGTGTTGTGCGGTGTTAGATAAACATTGCGCAGAAGTAGTTTAACATACATGCAAGTATGTTTATTTTGCTCCTGGGCATTTTGAAATAAATGTGATGCTATATTGAGCAGCCTTTTTGAGGTCAGGTCACAACATCTCCACCAGCTGCAAGTCTGGATGTTCTCCAGATAGTTATAAACCATCCGTAACACGATGTTTAGACTTAGACAAATTGTCATTTTGTTACATACAGCTTTTCAACAGTGAATGAGCAGCTTAGCAGTAAAAATGAACAATTATATTTATAAAGTGCAGCAATAATCAACACGTAAACAGTGTAGGAGAGACATCGTGCAAAAGGCATTGATGTGGAAGGTTCAGAGCAAAAAATAAATAAGTAGATATGGTGCAAAATGCAGTAGAAACACTGAGTTGAATTCTATTTAAAGGGATTTGAAGATTCACCATGTAGAGCAATTAAGGTGTTATCAGTGTGATGCAGAGTCTTGATTTGTGACTTTTCAATAGTCTTATGGCAGCGGGTAAAAAGCTGTTTCAGAACCTGCTGGGACGCAACACTGGGATGAAATGTCTTTGATTGCATATGATGCATAAAACGAGACAGGTGATTTTCCTCAGGTCAGTCGGCAGTGGTGCGGAAACTATCCCTCTGATGCCGTATTTGTCCAGGCTCCTATTGCTGATTCATAGCACTGACCTTAACCGAGTCAAGTGAGGCCTTTAGGCGTTTCTCAGCAGACCGTTGTTCCGTGTTTTCTCCATCTGTGGGTAATGCTCATCAGTGTGGTTCACTGGAGTCCTACAGCCTGAAGGTCAATCAACCCTAGGAGCTCCGCTCAAACGACAACTCAAACAGATGTTGGAAGTCACACTGAAGTGTGCCGTCAGTCTTTCTGTGTCTTATAGCGAGATGCAGTTATCTATGTTAGCCACCAGGTGGAATATCCATGGGAAGCATCAGGCAGTAATGTCCTCAGAGTGAGGAAATTATAAGGAGAAATATAGCAATAGGAGGCAGAATGTAGTGTCATTTGGGATTTACTTATTTTTGTTAACAATTTATGGTGTAAGAACAAAAAAAAAAAGAAGGAAAAAATATATTTTTCTTCATTAACTCGGGTTTTAACTCAAAATATCTTGCTTAAGGTAAACCATATATAACAGTATTATAACAGATTTACTTTCCCTTAAAGGGGGATGAACTGTCTGAAATAGATTTTATAGAGACACCTTGTTGGGGTAAGAAAATTTGAAGGATTTTATTGATGAATTCATAATAATAATAATAATAAAAAAAAAAACATCCATCCATCCATTTTCTGACACGCTGGTGCCTATCTCCAGTTGTCTACTGGCGAGAGGTGGGGTACACCCTGGACAGGTCGTCAGTCCATCGCAGGACATCACAGAGACAAACAGGACAAACTAATAAAAAACCAATAAAGCTTAATATCTGAAGACTGCATAGTTGATCTAAAATCCTTTAATGCCATTTTATGCATTTGTTTTCTTTCTCTATAGTGACTGAGATGCTTGTGAACGTTTTGAGCATCTGCTCCAATGACGAGCTGACGACTGATGAAGAGCTAGACGGTGAGTACCGCTTCAGCTCCACCAGAGGGAGACGTTCCTCTACTTTTCTGTTTTCTCCAAAGCTGCAGCTCCCTCCCAGGTTAAAGTCCACAGATCTGAACTTTTATTGTGTTTTATTAATCCGTAGTGTTCTGCTGTAGGTTTTCAATGCTTTTACCCTGTTGGATGATCGTAGGTTTTACTTTATCTCCACTCTGTTTCAACCCTTATAGGCAAGCAGGAAATGATCTCACTGCTCCTTCCTGCTGCTGCCCTTTCCTCCTCCTCACACGGCTTCAGTGTCAAACATACACGGACATGGCGCTCAGTGTTGCCACATTAAAATTCATAAAATATCTATATTTATAAATTCAAAACGTTGCTTTGTTCACGTGCTTGAACTTATCCACCTTTTGTCAAATTAAACCTAAAAAGCTTAATTAATTTTACCAAGGTTTAATGTGATAGATTTCTATAAAGCATCGATTCACTGTGTAGGGAAAGGAAAATTATTCTCCATATCTTCTTCAACAGGTGTTGATGTGATGTGCGAATTTTTCTCTGATACACCTACAAATGTAAAAGGTCCCAAAATGGTGTATATTCCTCCCTGTGCACTTATTTAACCACTTTATAAAGTGAACAACTAGCATCATGGAGACCCAGGAGCGCAGCGGAGAAATATGGGAGCAGTTCGGATAAATTATCAACACATTTATAAAGTGGGTTAAAACCAGCTAAAGCTAAAACAAAGTGCAGTACGTAAAAGGCAAGCAATACAATGAAAAACAATAAAAGAAAGCATTGCAATAAGGTAATAAAACTAAGAATGCAAGAATCTACATAGAACAAATAAGGCAAATAATCCAAAACATATTAGGGTTTAACAGACTCACACATCATCAATAAGAATAATCCTAGCAGCCATTAAAGCGGATAAAATAAATACCTATAAAAGAGGATAACAGAAAAGAAATATCTGATCTTATTTTGGTTGAGAGCTGGTGTTTAGAATAACTTTTTAATGATTATATAGAAACCTTCGTGAGTGACAGGAACCAAAATGTCAGGAACCAAAGTGACAGGAACCAAAACGTCCAGCCATAGACCCAATAAAATGAATTAAATTATTATAACGAAAGGCCTAGTCAAAGGCCAGACCTCAGTCCAATTAAGAAATGGGAAAACTTTAGATTACAGATGCTCTCTACACACATCTCAGATATTTAATGTAAAAAAAGAAACACAAATCCTAAATCTTTTTCTATCCACGCCAGAATTATATGTTGCTTTTTATTTGTGAAATGTTAAAAAGTTTAAAGGGGGTGAATACTTTTTCCAAGAGTTTGTAAGTGAGTGCTGGTGCTTAAAATATAAAAACAGTTCTCACCATAATCATCAGTTTTGAGTAATTTTGGTAACTTCAGATCCATATCCTGGATTCCACATCCTGACCGTCCTCTTAACCTGTTTTATGGCCTTTGCTTTTAATTTATTTTCTTTGTCTTTTCTCATCCCTTTTAAAGCCATTTCAAATCCTTTTCTGTAAGTTTTCAGTGCTGCCCTTTTGAAATGTTGAATTATTTCCTTTCCTCGCTCACTACAACATTTCCAATCCCCCTAGTTTTCTCTTCTTTTTATCTGCTGCTGTTCTTACGATTCCTCTCCATCTTCACTGCTCTCCTCTCTTTTCTGCCTCTCTATATCTGTCTCATGCTGAAATATGGTCACCACTTTGGTTTACTCATCTAATTTCTTTGTTTCCTTTCATGTTTTGCAGAGTTTTGTGCTCAAGGCATCACTTTTCCTTTTCATTTGCTGTGCTTTTTTTTTCTCATCTCTTCCTTCGCCCTCTGTTCATCTCTCATTCTGCGGCCATCCACTGATCTCTCTGTCCTCCTTCTTTGTCTTCTCTTCTGGGGTTGTTTCATGAGAAGGACAGCTAATATATCCCCCCAAAAAAGGTACAAAACACTAGTGAGCCGGTGTGTGTTTGCAGCAGCAGCTACGACTCCTGCCTTTGCTGTTTGTTAACTAACACTTTAAAAGTACAGTCTAACGTTTGTCCTGAATCGTTGTGGTGAAGCTCATCAAGGTGGAGGATGTGTGACTGTAAGATGAACCAGTTTTAAGCTAGATGATGCTTATAAAGGGGCCCTGTCACGTATTTTAAGTATGCAGATTTCTACACTGGTAACAACTTATGGTTTAATTCAGAGGGTTTAAATTAAATTATGGCGCCATGTTAGATTATTATATTTTATTTTGGTCTCTTACACATTTTTTTTTTTGTCCATTTGTTGGTTTTTAGTATTTAAAATCACAAGAACATGTGACTGGAAGTACAATGCTGTGCATGCACTCCACAAAAAAAAAGAAGAAATTATTATTTTTCAATCGTAGGAGTAAAAAGGAAGAGGAATAGGGCTGGTATTGATGGATGTAGGAGCAAATACTGCCAGCAGATGGCGACGGCGTACATCAATGTTTGCTGAATAGCAAAAAAATATCTCGGGTTCAAAAAAGAATGAGATTGACACAGTAAGCTTGTCGTGTAATGCTTAATTTTTAACATGAGCATATTGTTTTTGGTGTTTATTTTTATTGATAGTATGTGACTTGTAGCCTGACGTAGTCCTACTCAATTCTAGTCAGAATATGACTAGAATAAGAAGATGAGCCTTGATCGCGTTTATCTGTTCCTCTTTTAAAATTAATTTGCTGTCGATATCTTCTAGAACAGACCTAATAGCAGAATCTACTCACCTAAACTCTCCAGCGGCAGCCATTATTGTTGTCACCCTAGCGCGCTTTGGTCACATGGTTGATTACGTTACTGTTGATCATCTGTCCATCATCGTATAAAGCCCGCCCTGACAATTTGATTGGCCCGCCAGATATTGTGCGAGCATACTCACGCTACTACTGAGCAATGCCAGACCGAACTTCCTGACCTCAAACGTTGTGGGCGGGACTAAGTTCGGAATGGCACCCAGGCTATGTGACTTGGACCCTTTAAGGTGAAAATCAGACGTTCTTAGAAACATCTACTGAGAAAGGTTTAAAAGGATGATTAGTTCTATCTTTTATCAAGCTCTTCACCCTTCAGTTTCACCATCTCTTCCATTCATTTTTCTCTGGAGGACTTAAACTCGAAAGGGCGGGACCAATAAATAAAGTTTTTTTTTTTCCAAGCTCTGAACCATCGCAACCATAATACAGCACAGGAAAATCCACAGAGCATGGGGGTCGTCTAAACCTGCTGAACAGACATGTTTGGACACAAAGCGGGTTGTTTTTACAGAGGATGCACCACTAACACGTATCTGGGGAATATGAGGGTAGAGGAGACATAACAGAGGTGGTTGGCATGGTTGCACCCACTGCTGAGAAATGCTCCAGTGTGATGTGTTTTATCTTTTTTTCGGTAAAGTTTCTACATAATCTGATTCTGGGACTTAATAACAGCATCATGGTTTTCACATGTTGCACTTTTCTCTACACTAATGGTCCAACGGAACATCTTGCATCCCTGAGCTGATAGAAAGTTGGCCTGTATCAGCTTCATAGTAATGTTAGGTTTTAGGAAGGTTTTAGTCATATTATTGGTGGAACAATCCTACAGGACGCCACTATTGCATTTAAGCTGATTGTTCCTTAACAAGCCGCACCTCAACCACAGACATCAACAGCATGTTGAGTTGTATGGCAAAGACCTGGCTTTTAAAAGACACCAAACACTTAGAATGGGATTGAGACTGAAGTTGGCTTAATAGCAGCCAGTTTTCTACAGTCCTTTATCATTTGGAAGGTCCAGTGGGGTCCAGCTTTTTAAACATCTAGCTGTAAAGGCTTTGAAGGGTCTCCAACTTCGTTTACCTCCTGTGGCATTTCCAGGAAATGTTCACAACAATGGGAAGGCAGGTACCAATGTATGCTGAGGGGTAGCCTAAAACTAACACCCACCCAAACCAGTTCAGGGTCAATTTATACTCCTCATAATAAACTGACATTTTATTTTCCGAATAAATCACTGAAGGCGGAGCAGATTTACATGATGCCCTTGCTACTTAAGCTTTGCAAGTATCATTTGAGTCAATGAGTCAATGCAATCAACTGGTTTTCCTTAGATAGAAAACTTTGAATCAATTTGATTGGATGATCTGGTTGAACTGTAAAATTCCTTGAGATGACATGTGTCGTGAATTGGTGCTTTATAAATAAACTGAATTGAATTGAATTTTTTCCTGTCATTTTCTAATGGATGAACTGATTAATTCAGGTGTGCCTGACCTCAGTTACCATGACAACAAGTGCCAGACGCACCTGGATAAATCAGTTCCTCCAGCGATGAAAGACAGGAATCAAAAGATATGACTTCAGTTCAGGAAGTAGTAGAGTTAGGCATAGAGTCCATTAAATTTACCCCCCTGCCCCCCCCTCTAGATTCACCCCTGTTCACCTCACTCAGTTTGGATGGATAAGATCTCTCCAACACATCTGAACTAGTCTAAACACCTTTAAAGTGATGCAGACCTTAACGCCAACCATTATTTCAAATTGATGTCAACAATCTGGATCCACAGTAAGGTAGTAGTTAATTTAACTGGATTTTTATCACTTCTAAAAATCATGATCTTCTGGATGAGGTGCAGCTGCTGTAACTAAGCGGCTTTGAACCAAATAACAGTTGGTTTTGACTGTGAAGTTAAGATTAACTATACAAATATGTTATATAATCAATCCTTCCTTCCTGATGAGGGGAAAAAAACTGATTAATGTTTTGTTACTGAAGTTCTTATTTAGTCCTTTTTTGCTTTTACCCTTAGATAACAAAGACAGGTACTAGGTAGCATCTTCAGCACACACTGTGGGACAGGATTTTTAGGGAGGAAGGTTTTGGAAAATAAATAATCAGAAATGCTAAAAGATTTGAAGACACTACAGACAATACGTTTGGTTTCTAGCCTTTTTTTGAGCTGCATGGAGGCATCATTTTGTGACCTGTGACTGTTTTCTCCAGGTGCCACTGCTTCTGCCCGGAAGGAAGTCATCCGCAACAAGATCCGAGCCATCGGGAAGATGGCCAGGGTATTCTCTGTGCTCAGGTACGCAAACATGCTCAACTTCTACTCCTCAGCTAGCAAATGCTGTTCTTTCTCCTTGTCTTAGTCGTCTTAGCTCTAATTGTTGAGCTAATACCAGGTTTTAGGGGCTAAAAAATGCATTAAACACTCGTCTTCTTAGACCAATTAAAAGAACTCTGCTATTTTCCATATTTACAAAGTGTTGCATCGTTGCCCTGGTAGTTTTCTCCTGCTTTTTGTGATTTCAAATCTTAAAAGAAGCCTGTAACTAAGAACTAAAACTGGATTTTGTTTGTTCTTCTGCTGCCAACATCAGTTAGAGAGAGGAAGGAAAATAAATTAAGGGAGAGTGTCCCTGCTGTAAATCTGTCACTGCTCTGTTTACTTTGCGCTTTGGGGCCGACTGACTATGTTTTAGCTTTACATATCCTTTCATCCACTGTTAAACTGTGTAAAAGGAAGGGTGTAAACATCGTAATAATCTAGTTCTTTGTTCTTAAGGTTCTAGTTGTTGTAGCGCAGTAGATAGCTGTGTCTTATTTCATTCTCTGCTATAAAAGGTAAAAAAATATAAAAAATAAAGGAAAACTCTAGTCTAGAGTTCACACCTTTAATCAGGTAGAGTAAATCCAGTATGCCTGAGAGGAAGTTAAAGTGCTGCTGGTATTATTGGTATTCCTGAGCGTCACAGGTTTTGCCGATATTAAAAGAGGTGTGGGGTTTTATCTTCAATTGGTGGAATGATTAGATTGAAATTGGGTAGATAGGGTGCAAATAAGCTGGATTGCTGCCTTTCCTTTACTATTATTTATTGTTTTGTTTCGGGGTTTTTTGGGGTTTTCTTTGCTCTGTATGTGAAAACGATCTACTGTTTTCTCTCTATGTCAGAATAAGGAATGAAATTGAACAACAGAAGCTTTTTCTTCCAAAGCAAAGGTCCAGGTTTTAGTAGAAGTGTCCCTAAAGCCTACAGAAGAACAGGGGGTATGATTGTATTGATTCCTGGTTTGGATAGGGATGAAAAAGGGATTCCAATAAAGTTGAAAAACAATCCACTGGACTTGGTTTCCAAGTTTAAAATATGACTATGACCTGGATGACAAATTTTGTATTTCTACCTAAATATTGTGACCTCCCTGCTCTCTGTACCTCTGTTTTATTTACTCCTTGTGTGTCAATCCTTCCTTCCATTAATTCTCTCCCTCATAGTTTTCTCTGATTCTTTCTTCTTTCTTTTCGTGTCTTCTTCACTGAATCCTAACCTTATTGTGTCCTTCCTTTCTTCCTCCTGTCATTTAATACATCCATCATAAATTAATGGTGAAAGTTACAAATTGAAATGCATGCATAGGGCTACAATCTTAAAAAAGTTTGAAAAATCCCAACTGAAGAACCATACTAACACTAAAGCATGGTGGTGGCAGCATTGTACTCTTGGGCTCCTTCTCTTAAAATGAAACTCATGTTTATTTTGAGCTGGATGATCAGAAACATCCGTTCTCTCCCAGATATTTAAGGATAGCATTTATTTTAACGGTTGAAAACGATTTGAAATTCTTGTCCTGGTCTGATTTGCAGTGGAAGCAGCTAGCTTGATAATAGCGCCTTCTCTACCGTGTGTTTCAGAGAGGAGAGTGAGAGCGTGCTGACGCTGAAGGGACTGACCCCGACAGGCATGCTGCCGAGCGGAGTGCTGTCCGGTGGCAAAGAGAAGCTGCAGAATGGTAAGAACATTTCTGAGACCCCCACCTTTGCTCCCCCCGCCACAGGTTTCAGTAGCTGCACCACAAAGGAACCCTAAACAGGTTTAAGTGCCGCATTTAAAGTATGATTTATGTTCCCCTTGATTGATATTTAATAAATTGAACTCTTTCCCCTCCTGTGTTTGTTAAACAGATGATAAAGTCTCCTCCTCTACCAGCTACATTCAGCATATTTTCTTTGGTTTCATTGTTTTCCTGAATGTGTCCTCTCTTAACGTCCTGCGTTATTGCTTCTGTTTTCCAGTCCCTGTTTTCTCTCTTCCACTGGTTTTACTCAAATATTACCCATGTGTTTTCTTTTCTCCTTTTCTCTCTGGAAACTGCAGGTACATTCGGTTGTTGTGCAAGTATTTCGTTGTGTTATGTGTTCATCAGTGTTTTTTATTTATTTACTTTGTGTGTGTGTGTACATTCAGTTTGACCACAGTCTGGTTTTCAGATCTGTGAAGGTGGATCTTAGCGATCATGTCAGGTTGTTGAAACTTTATTCAGGAGTATATTAGAAATACCTGTGAAGAGAAGAGGGATAGTTATTCATTTTAGGTTTTGTAAATAAAAACAGAGTTCTCTGTTTATAAGTGGGTTTCATTAGATTAACAGCAACCATCGTTTTCATTCGCTCTCTAGAAAAGATCTGTAGAAAAAAAAATAAAAAAACAGGGACAAATAAAACAGTAGCTTAATATTAAAATTATAATGGAAAATCTAATGTTAAAAGATTTATTTTCTCCGTCTTTCTTACTTAGAAATAAATTGAATAAATAATATTTTGAGTTAAAAACATAGCTGTTTGAATAGTTTTATTTATTAGTTGTAATTTGATGATAAATTCAAGAAAATTGATGTTTTGAGGGGCTTTGAAAGAGAATCCAGGCCCACAGCATCACACATCCCCCTCTATACTTAACTGAGGTACTTTTTCACACATTCATTCTTTACTAAACATTGTTTATAAACCAGTCAGTTCAGGTTCAAATCATTTAGTTTAGGAAACTCCACAGTTTTTTGTTTTGTGTTTTTTGACAGTAGAAAATAAATACGTTTTCGTTCCACATCCTAACCCTTAAAGGTTGTTCTGGACACGATTCCTGACCAGAAGGACATGTTATCCAGTTTTGTTTGTTTTCTTCCATTATGAAGAGCAGTTACTATAAATGAAACTGTCAGGTCTACTTATTAAAAGTTCCTGAATTCTCTCATACATCTAAAAGAAGTTTAAAGTATAAAGTTCAAACCAAGCTTAATTTATTAAGGTTTTAATGGGGATCGATCAGGGCTTTAATAATTATTACATCAGTCATTTCATTTAAAGAGATAAAGTTAATTTGTGTTGGATTCTTCTCTCAGTAAATGTTCTCACAATAAAGCTTTCTTTATCTTAATACCTCCAGTGAGATTACGCTGCTGCAATAAGAGGTTTAATTCGAAGGCTGTTAGCGTAAAGCTGCTAATAAAACACTTTATAAAATCATATTATTCTAATGAGTTTAGACCCGATTAACAGTGGGACTCCTGCTGCTCGCCTCATTCAGCTGAACACCTGTGATTTGAGCCGCCTTTTATTTGTGTGTTGATGATTTAGTTAGAACTCATCCTCTGGGACGTTTGTGCTTTAGTCTCCTGTCTGTAAACCTCAGCGTCCCTCCACTGCTAGTGTGAAGTCGACTCTATGCAGCTTTGATGTGTTTGCTATAAATATGTGTCTCCCAGGATGACGGTTGGTAGTTGGTAAGTGGCTGAAAGGTGTTTTTATTTTTTCCTTCAAACTCAGTCCTAATTCTGATATAATGCATTGAAGGATGGTGAATCTAGCTTTAAATAAAGTGTGATCATAAACCTCTGCGCTGTACCAATGTCTTCCAGCTGCTTCATTTTCCACCTTTCTTTTTAACTCCCATCTTCATACTTGTTTCATAATGTTTTTTACAGTGTTTATTTTTGTGTGTGTGTGTCAGCTTTTCTCTAAATGTTTATTCCTCCTGGATTATTTGCTTTTTATTTTCTCCTGTCGCTCCATTCACTAGTTTAACGCTTTCTCTTGAAGAACTTTAACCCTCCCTCCATGATATTTGCTGATACTTTTCTTCCTCCTCCACCCCCTCCTCTCTGCTAACATCCTCGTTTTCTTTTTGTCTTGAAATGTGGAGATGCCGTTAACCTTTTGTTGTCGTTATTGGCTGTCTTTGCTGCTCATTGACTTGTTCCTGGGACAAAATGACCTCCTCCTGCTCACCTCTCTCGTTCATTTTGCAACCCCCCTCTTCTTCTCTTCAGCTACTGTTGAAGCTATTGAGGCTGATGAAGGTAAATGGGTCTGGCCGCCCTCTTCTGTTGCTTTTTCATGGCAATAGAAAGTTGGGGGAGGGGAGGGGAGGGTTTGGTGGGTTTTTTACATTCATCTCGCTGGTGCTTGAGTAGAGTGTGTTTTTTTGGGGGGGCTAACAAGCTGTGCGTAGTTTCAACGTAGAATAAGATGTAAGTACTTTAGATCATGTGGCCGCATGTTTTAAAGCGGGACGGGCTTTTCATGGCAGAGATTTCATGATCACAGATCACCACTGATTTTATCTTTTATTTTATGGGTGAGCGCAAAGCTAAACGACAGTTTGTGACTGAAAATGTTTGCTTCACCTTTCAGAAGAACTGCTGAATGAAGTTAGTTTATATACAGTTTTATTTGCACTTAAAGTGCGTTTTTACACTCCCATAAATGCAGGAATGTGTAAACGCATTAGTATTATCAGCTCCTCTGGAAGCTCTACTGTGAATTTACACTGCTTATCTAATTAATAACTCTTGCTAACCTGTAATAAATACAACTAAATATGTGCTTGAGCTGTTGGCCTATTCCCTACTTCATATAGGGCTACAGGTCATGAAATAAAATAAAAAAAGCGAGGCTTATCAAGTCAGAAAGATGGCGAAACATTGTAGGACTGTGCAGAAGTTTTAAATTGCAGCTAATTACATTTTCTTTTCATGCAGGCAGCAGTTATTGTGATATAGATTAATACCTGCTATGGCTTTCTAATTTCCTCTTTTGACTTTTTTAAACCAGCCCAGTTCTTAGATAATTTTTTTTTACAGTTTTAAAGAGAATTACTTTACTTTGGTGGATTTAGAGAGATTTGCCCTTTTCACATTCACAGATCTCACCAACATCTCTTGGTTAAAGGATCTTTAGAAAAGCAAGAGTTCTTACTCGTCTCCTTCACTTCCTTTTAAATTATACTCATTTAATCTGTTTTGTAGTGCTCTGCAGTTCTGCACAAAACATTATTATCTGTTTAAAATGATGCATTTCCAACTAAGGAATCCCACTGCAGGCCGGAAGATAAGACGTGACCTTTTAGAGCACGTTTTCTTCCAGTTTAAACAATTAATTTGTACTTGATGAAACTTTGACATCACTTTTCGTCCTCCCGTATCAAAGCCCCTTCCTGCAGGAAGTGATTCCAGCTAGCTAGATGGATAACAAGTGTGAATATCCTGCTCAGAGCAACATGTTAGATATCATTAATATACAGAGGGAAATCCTATCCAAAGCTAATTTGGAGGGCTTTTATAGAAACTATTCAAATGAGGGTAAAATGCAAACGAGCTTTGCAGCGCCAAAGACATTACCCAACTTGTCATGGCCTCATTGCTGCACAATGGATTGCAATAAAACTCTTGTTCTAGGAAGCTCCATAAAATACCAGAATACAGAGTTTCACTCTATTTTTATGCAGTACGTACATTTTTTTTTTCCATCTCTACCAAAGCATCTGGGACACAATTAGGGCTGAAACAATTCATCGTGATTAATCAATTATTGAAATAATCGTCAACTAATTTAGTTATCCATTAATCGTTAACTGGAGTATAGAGAGTGTAAAATATGCCTTTAGCTGATAGAGCAACCTACTTAGAGCAAAAATTATACAAAGATTATAAAAAATATATGAATATTTTGCATTTAAGATAAAAAAAAGAAACTGTCAACATGCTCTATCCAGAACTCCTCCAGTGGAAAAGTTTTAGTTTCAATTTCATAAAAAGTCTTCTTTAAGGAACCTTCGGCTATCCAATTATCAATCGATTGATCAAAAAAATTATCAATAGATCGATATTTAAAATAATTAGTTGCAGCCCTAGACACAATATATGGTCTTCGTTGGATACTTTATAAAAACCATAACACCTATTTATGTAATAGAAAATAACATTTTAGAAGAAATCTGAATATGGCTTCAAGACCTACAGCATGAATATAGCCTAAGAAAGAAGAGAGAGAGTGTTGTTTTCAGAACATGTATTTAAAGTTAATTAATTGCTTTAAACATTGTTTGTTTCTCTTTCAAGGATTTTAAAATTTTCATATTCTTTTAAAAAATATAAATCAATATTTTCACAAAAACTGTGTTTAAATGCGAAAGAAGGCGAAAAGTATCAGGAAAAGAAATAAAATCCTTTTTTTTCAGGAAAGCATTAAAGAAAACCAAAAAGAGACCTGAGAAATGGTCGGGGGCAGAAAGCAGCCAAAGAAAAACCTCCAGAAAGGTTCCCTCATGGAGCCTTTAGGAAAATTTTCCTCAGCAATTTTTTTAAAAGTCTGAAAGAATGTCTTACGTTTCTGGAGGAGATCCAAAACTGCACCTCATTCAAATCACACTTCCTTTGATGATTAATTTGTTTTATAGTCTGTCTTTTGCTGCCCCACCACACACACACATCCTTATGAAATCTTGCTATGAAAGCCCTTAATGTTACGTCCCCTTTGAAACGGCTTAAGCAGTTGTGCATTGTTGTTGCTGTTTTATTTATCTTCCAAATGATGTAGAGCTAAAATCCAAAGCTCCTGGGGAGAAATCTACATTAGATTCTCCCATTGAATGATTTGCATCGCTTTTTCCTCTGCTTGCGCAAGAACAACCTCAACTGCGAGCTAAATAGTAGTGCGCCAGCTGCTATTTACGTTGAACCTGTCCGGTACTTCCTCTTGAACCCCACAGAGGACAGTCCACTGTAGTGTCCAGACTCTTCTCTGCTTCTCTCTCTCCATGTCGGTCTCCTGTGGCCCTGCTGTGTCGTGTTTCCTCCCTGTGAGCTGCTAATAACCTGTGTCTGACCTGTGCTATGCAGCAACACAACTACGCTACTCATCGTGCCCTCTGTAGAAAATGTCGCCCCTGCTTTCTCGTTTTAATAAAGGGTCATCACTTTTTTTTTTATTATTAGTAGTAAAGAGTCTTTATGAGGGGTGGAAGTGATGAAACAAAAACATGACATTTCCATTGAGATCTTGTGGTAACTTCCATCCCTCATAGCTCCTGGTAGACCCTAATTGCTGCATGCTCCAAACAGACTAAACCAGTAGTTAGCACCCAAAGTGTCCGTAATGTTTCTGTCCGTGGGCTCAGTCTCAACGTGGTTTCTATTCTGTGGTAGTGAGTGTTTCAGTGGACTCCACTCTTTTTTTCTTTCTCTCTCTGTTTTTTGTTTGTTTAGTTTATTTTATTGTCTGTCTCTGATCATTCTCTTCTTTCCCTTTGGTTGTTTCAACCTGTGACGTGATGAGGGCAATCTGGACGTTTGGGGTCCTCAGGCGTTCTGCAGCGGGCTTTGCCTTAAAGCCCTGTTTTCTTCTTCTTCTTTTTTTTACTGCCTAAAAACACAAGATTTTTTTTTTTTTTTAAACCTGCGGTGCAACCTGTTGCATATATTTTAGATTTCTTTGCACAGGTGCTCATCGAAGCATGGATTGGTAGTAAAGTGAAAACCTGTTGACCCTGATTCCAGCAGCCCCGTTATAGGATTAGAGGGATTAGTCAATCCTTTTGTGTACCCTGTTATTTGTTTTTTTATCAAGTAAATTCTGTTATTGTGGGGGTAGTTAAAAAAAAAAAAGTTAAGAACAATAAAAGGTCACCGTTTTTCTTAAACATACCTATATGATTTTTCTGGGTAGAGTTAAAGGAGAACATTGATAGCTAAAACCAGCAAATAGTCTGGTCAAGAACATTGTCTAGGAAACGGGATGCTAATTTAACAGAATCCCTGCACTTTGACACCTTCTGTAGAACACAAAGCTTTACTTTTTTCACAAAGCCATGGCTCAATCTATGTATTCATCAAAGTAGGTGAGAAATTAGAAGCAGCAAAAAGAAAAATTCTACTTTATTTCCGTTACATTGTCACAAGTACAAAGCAAATAAATGAACTCTCTGCATTTAACCCATCCGCATGGGGAGCAGTGGGCTGCCATGGGGCAGCACCCAGGGAGCAGTGTGAGGTAAAGGGTCTTTGCACAGGGAGTGGCAGTCCGCGGGAGTGGGACTTGAACTTTGAACTTGTGGAACCGGAGCACAGTGACCATACCCACTAGGCTGCCCCTCCCCTGCCAGGGGATTAATAAAAAAAAAAGATGTCTGGAGGAGATACAACAAAAAAAATGCCAAAGTGAATTTTCTTCTTTCCCTTTGGTTTTTTCAATCTGTGATGTGATGACCTGGACGTTTGGGGTCCCCTTCACTACTTCATTACACCGAGGGAGTGGCAGGAATAGATCCATCAATTATTTTTTTTCTGCGAAAGAGGCACGGCAAACAATTAGGTTGAATTGATTGTGCTGTTGCATTTAAAAGAATGTACACAAATTTAAAAATCAGGTCAGGTCTATCAGAGCTGTAGTGCAAGAAGGTAAATAAGATTACCAGTAATGCATATAATGCATCGATGGAGAGTAAAAAGAAATGAAAAGCCTTCCAGCACCCTAATCGTATAGCAGCATAAATGCAGGGGTCCGGTCAGAAAAAACGTAAGCTGCCAGGAATTTTATAAAGAAGAAAAAATGCGTTTATGTCTCATTTAACTCTACCCAAGAACATGAATAGGGATATTTTTTGAAGCTTTTAAAAGGTCTTGTCTTGCAGTCATCATAAAAAAAGGGTGGCTGTAGTATTTTTTATTTTTTTTCCTGCAACAACTCTTGCCCCTATTAGATTATTTCTTATTTTTTCATTTGTACAATACTATTTAGTTTATTTTCACAATCAAACTAAGATGAGCTTTATTTAGTTATCTTCTAATAAATAAGTGATTCTCATTACTTTATTCAGCATAAAAAACGCTCCTAATTCCTGTCACTTGTCCTCTCCTTTTTTCACCTTTCCCCCCCCACATCTCATCAGCCATCAAAGGCTTCTCCCCTCAGCATAAGATCACCAGCTTCGAGGAGGCCAAGGGTCTGGACCGCATCAACGAAAGGATGCCACCGCGGCGGGATGCCCTGCCTTTGGACGCAAGCCTCAATTCGCTCAACAGGGCCCTGTCTTCGGAGACAAACGGCACGGATGCTAAAGGGAGCACCAGTGGCGGCAGTGGAGGCAACATCCAGTGAAGGCCAGCAGCAGCAAGCGCCGCCTCGGCCCGCGGGGCTGCCTGGCCCCCAGCCTCATCATGGCTCGCCACTGCAGAGAAGACGCAAAGGTTGAAGGAAAAGAGAAGAACGTTGGGGGAGGGGCTGGAGTGTCGATGGAGGAGGCAGCTGTGGCTGAAACTTGGGGGGGGGGGGGGGGGGGGGTCTAGTCTTTTAAAAAGCCTTCATAATATTAGTTCCTAGTTAAGTCTGCTAAGTTATTTGCCGGGTCATATTTCTGAGCGCCTGTCCGCGCCTCACATCGCTGTCCGTCAGAGAAAAACAGGAACAGAGAGAGAGAGAGAGAGACCTTAGAGTTGTCTGGTTTGTTTTATTATTTTCTTAAACGACCCTTTTTCTCATTTACACCGGAATGGAAAGTCGTGTAACTTCTTACTAACTATTTTACGTTTACAAGAACGCAGCACTAAAAAAAAAAAGCAAACAAGAAGAGAACATGAGAAAGGTGATGTTTTTAAAGATATAAGGGTGTACAAACTAAATAAGGACTATTTATTGATGACTTTTTTTTTCTTTTTTTTTTTGCTACTCTTATGAATTAGCGTTGAAATTAATTAGGCAGTCTTAAAAAAAAAAGGAATGTTGCAATGTTGTCAAAATGCCAAATAATGGAACGTTTTATGGTTTTTGTACATATTCTGCTTACCTCAGGTTATTTTGGTGTGTGCTTCAACCTGATTTTTCTGTATAATGAATACCTATTTTCTTGAGTTTCATAACTGGAATTTACACTTACCTATCTATCATCTGCAAATATGATTATTTTTTGTCTATCTGAACAGGGGACTTTGCGAGGGGGGGTAGATTTTATTTGTTTTCTTTTGTGGCTTGCTGGAATTGAGTGTTAAATTTTTCTCTTTTTAAGTATTGCGAACAAAGTAAAAATAGAGAACCTATATTGTGTAAGAAAAAAAAACAAAAAAAAAACATGATAAAAGTGTCTGCCTATGCATGTTTTATAAAAATCAAAGGAATTAGAAAAATCTGAATACCTTGGCTGTGGAGGCCTGTTTTGAGATATATTGCGCTTTAGTGAACATATACTGGAAACGTATACTTGCATACTTTGAATTAACACCGAGACGCTCTATGCCTTTGATTCTCCTTTTGTTTTGTAATTGAAGCATTTAATGATCGATGATGGATGAGAAATCCTATTTTTAACCTGCGCTTGTGAGTGCACACAGTCCAGTTAAGCATGTTTGACAATTCTCGTGAGGTGTGTGGTTACATGTGGATCTCCCAAAAAAATGCATGATTAGTTGTTTGTATCCTATAAAACGGTGAAAATCAGTTTTCTTGAGGTTTATTTTGTTTTTATTTTATTTTAGCTTTTTTTGTAAATGTGCCACAGAAAGTGTAATTTGATTCCTCTTATAATCTTATTTGGAACTCTGCTTTGTATATCAGTTACAGGTTTGATACTGCTCAATACTTTAAAATGAAACAACAACAAAATATATATATATATATATATAAAAATATAAATATACTTAGATCTTTTTTAAAGAACTGCTTTAAGTGCCCAAGTAATTCACTACACGACATGAAGCCTTGCTTTTTGTAATTTAACTCCGGAAACTGTTGGCAGATGGTGATGATTATGATGATGATGATGAGGCATGCACTTGCAACTAGGAGAAGTATTTTATATAACTGTTCAATAAAAATGTGCATGAATTTCAACATGAAATGAAAACTGCGTGTTGTCTGACTCTATTTGAAGAACCTGCTGCAGAATTACCTCTAAAAGGAAAGAGTTTGCTCCAATTGCTTTGGGAAAAAAAAGACTTAGGTTTAGCAGGTCAGACATCTTTAACTAAGGTATTATGCAGAAAATAAAAAAAACCCTACATGTGCGTCTTGATTCAGACCATATTTGTAAAGATGTTTCAGTGTTTTGATTTTAAAAAATGTAGATGTATACAGACTTATTGCAAACCACGTCTCACTTCCTGTCAGACCCATGCCGCTGAATTGCTGCGTAGTCCGTCTAAAATAGACCTATGCAAGCCCATTTGCACAACATATGGTGTGATCATCCCCATCGACTTTCAATGAGCGCCAAACACCACAACCTTGTCCAACACGATTTTCTGTTGGACGCAAAATCGGATTTGTTGTGTCCTGGCCTTAAAATCTAGACCAGAGGTCTTCATCAGGTGGTTCGCAACCCCTAGGGGGTCCGCGGAGGTACTGCATAGGGGTCGCAAAAGTTTTGGTTAATTAGACTTTTTTTATATTCCCCCTGCAATTTTTTCCACTAATTGAAATATCTTTAAATCCACATTAACATGAATCCAACAGACTGTAGTAAACAGATAAATGGAGGTAGAATATGTCTTTCAGTCATCAATGCACACATTCAGCGACACACAGGAGCTCTTTCAAGCTGGGCACCGTTTCATTCACAACACCTGTCCCATCAACAAGGAATCAGAAATACTTTAATAATCCCATGATAGAACATTATTTCATACCATATATTTAATTAGGGGGTCCCTGCTCCATCTAGCCATCAGTTTGGGGGTCCTTGGCCTGGAAAACGTTGGAGACCCCTGATCTAGACAATTTAATCAATGGGCTAAGAAAAACCCTGCAACAGGACAAACATTCTGGACATTTAATCCAGTACAGCATTTCAGTTCTATGACATTGATGACCTGCTGAATTAATCACTGCAAAACAACAATCTAAAAACATTTCTTCAAAGATGTTTAATTACCCTTAATTTGAGTAGGTGAATAAGAATAGAAAGGAATGAGTATTTCTACCCTTAAAAAAAAGATAATTACATATGTTGCACTTGAAATAAGAAGCTGCTGTTGTCTTTTTCTTATTTTTAAAAGCAAATTGACTTATTTCGTTGACAGTGTCTCACTTACTTTTTTAATTTATGAAAAAATGCACTTAGTGTAAGAAAAAAAAAATTCAGTGTGGTACCAAAGACATTTTTATTTCTGATGCCATTTTTATACAAAAGAACACATGAAGGGGGTTTTCAGGGATTGTGAAATCAAAGCTTGAATACAACAAAAAAAGTGCATTGTTTTTAGGTTGGAAGAACAGGGAAAAAAAACATTTCACCAAACAGCCTGGAAAAGGATGTTTTTTTAGACAAAATATTAATGAAACCTGACCTTTAAACCACCTCATCCATCATCTCATTATTGGCTCTGGTTTGTGTTGACTTTAGTTGTATTTTTCTCTGTCTACGGTTCCTATGAACCAAACAAATCAGTGTGGAGTTTGCATTTGGGAAAATGTGCTTGGCAGCTCCTGAACAAAGGTGTTTCCTCCCTATCAACCTCAGTGACTTCTTTGATTAAACTTTGAAGGCAGAGCCAACACACTGTTACCCTACCTGCAAGCTAAACCACCAATAGCTGCTCCTACTGTCAAATATTTTCCCAAACCTCATTCCAATTCTCCAAAAATTAGTCTGTTTTAAATGTGAAGGCAGTCCAACTTAAATAGCATTACATTTTTTAGGGCTTTAAACTTGTTTTTGGCTTTATTTAAAGCACAATGCTCGAATCAAAGGAAGTGAACGCTCACATCCTGTTTTTGGGGATATTCATTTTACAAAAGCCAGGATTGTACCAAGTGAGAGAAAATGTGCGGATCGGTTGTTGATTTCACAATGAGCAAGTTTGGGACACATGATTAAAATATTCAAGTAACATCTTTGCTGTATGTGTTATTCTTCATGAATCCTTGGTAGAGAAAACTGTCGGCTGTCAGATCTGCCACACCTCATTAACTCTATAAGGTTTGTTAAAACCTAAAAGCTTATAGTTCAGCAGGTTGTAGCTTGGCTTTGAGGAGCTTTCTCAATGAGCTTAACATTTGCCTCATTTTTTTATTTTTATTTTCCAATTCAAAGCATTTTTTGGTTTCATCTTGCCACTGGAACATCAAACCATTCATAGTTCTGTTGCTTTGAAGTGAGGTTTAAAAAAAAGTCCATCCACGTTGTTCACTCTGCTGACCGAGGGAGTGAAACAAACTCGCATCATGATGGTACCACCACCATACTGGCTGCAGGTAAGCTGTCCCTCGACTCCCCCAAAGATGCAGCTTAGCATTTTAGACCTTCTGTTGCCTGATCTTAAACGTTAAATCCATTCATTTGGGTTTTTCAAAATGAATTAAGAGGAAGAGATCTGCTCAAACCAAACAATGCTTTGTGAAAATATTATTTTCTAAACCTGAGAACTGGTTGGATTACTGCACACTTGTCAGGTGTTTATGGTAACACCGTATTAATCCTTTGCATTTTACTTTAGATTTAATGAGTCTATGATGTGCTATAGAGTCTGCAGGTCCATCAAGACATCTTTGCAGGTTACATGCTCTTTTTGCTCAGAATTCATTTTCAGCTGGGAGACTTTCCCATAAACCCAAATGTTGCCCAGTTCATCTATTGTAATTGACTTAAAACCATTCAACTTAGCTGTTCAGGGTTCTTTTATTAGCTCCTGGATGAGTCCTTGCTGTTCTTTTGGAGCAATCAAGGGTTCACCAAAGTCCCGTTTTCTATATTTATAGTTTATGGTTCCCACTGTGGTTTAATGGACAAAAATAAATAGAGTTGCATCTCATCTTTTCTTGGTTTTCTTTAGCTCAAGGCATTATTACCTGTCACCGTTTTTGTTTTCAGATCTTCTGACCTACATCAGCTTGCCAAATTGTTTTTGAGAGTTTCTGATTCTTTAGGTGCAACAGTCATAAATAATGGGGGGGGGATAAAAAAAAAAAAAAAAAAAAAAAAACTAGATCTACATTCTTTGGTAAAAACAAAGAGTATTTCAGTGAGCACTTCTGTAAGCATTGTTCCAGACAGTGAATAATAGTGAGACGTCATGGTTGGCATTTAATTGTTTATATTTTATATTAACTTCTACAGGAAAAAACAAGATGTTTGTTTTATGGTTAATCATTCTCAGTTCATGTAGCAGATGCCTCTCCATCTGTAGAAGGTAGTCGGCATCTTTAGTGTTTCAGATTCCTAAGCAATCATTTGCTTATCTCCTATAATTGCTGATGTAATTGC